TAACAACAAAGTTGATCACGCAAATTAAGTGGTTGGATCGGGTTCAAGAAATTTATAAAGACGGTTGATGAATTTTTATAAAGGAGCTTAAGGAGTAAATTAATCCCTGGCAGGCAGAGCATGAGGTGTCATAAGGTGTCATAATGTATTACGCAGAATAATATTTTTTAATTAGGCAGTTGACCCACTACCAAGAGGACTCGTTCTGGTTGTTACCACAACTGGCAACTTGGGTTATTTTTAGCCAAAGATTATATTGTTTTCTATATATATTTTTGTCAACTTTGTCTTGATTTTATTTTATATTATTAAATATTAGCTTTTCCTGATTTTTTCTCCAAGTTATCTTAAGGCAGCTTGGGCCAACTTAATACCAGAAAAATCGTGAGATAACTCTGTCATCTATAGATATATTTTTTCTTATTAATTCTACCATCAAACCAAATATACATAAATATTTCTATAAATACTTCTAAATATTTTCCACATATATTTTTCTTACTACATACAATTCTAGCATCCTTTGCTATATTTAGCATCCTTTTGCATATTTATTTTATTTTAAAATACTTCCCCTATTTTGAGAGCACTCTTTCCACGTGTAACTGCTCCTTTGCCATCCTGGCCAGGATTTATTTACCAAGCAACCCACCTTTTTGGTTGACAACACTATTTGCAGGACATCATCTACCCGCTAATAGCTAAACAAGCACCATCTGCTACCCATTTCTTTGCCTCCCTGAAACCGGTGACATGGTTGTGCGTGGTTGCGTGGAGCTCACGCTTTCGTGGTTGAGGTGCCACGTGCCCCTCCCTGACCTGAGCCCCTTCTGCTCGCCTTACATTCACCTGACCCCACTTGCATATAAAAACACTTGTGGCTGATGGGCAACTGCCGGATGGCGGATAGTAGTGCATCATGTCATCGCATGGCGGCCAACGCAAATGCAATTTAAAGCAAACAATTTTTTGAAATGACCTACATCCTGGGCAGGACACGCAGTCACACACACACACGCACACACTCGCAAACAGACAGCAACAAAATGGGAGTTGTTTTCAGTGCGGCGCACACAACATCATTAAAAATTAATTCACGCTCGATGTCCTGCCCCCCTGGTAAAAAATAAAGGACGAGCCAGTAGAGTTAAAGTGAAGTGGAGTGCAACCAGTGAAAGCACTGGGGAAATATGCGGGAATTTTGGTAAATGAATCAGAGAATCTAAAGAGACGTTGAACTTGATAAAATAACTAGAAGATTTCATTGAGAAAGGAGATGGTTTTTTGATTAAATCTTTATAAATCTTCTCTTTATAAATTTCCTTTACTTTTTAGGAATTATTTTATATTTACTTTTTACAGTGCCTGAAAACGGAACTCGGCTAACAGCAAGTGAATGAACACGTTTTGCGGTCGCCGGGGTTGTGCACTTTATAATGTTGGCCAGATCCTGGTCCAGGTCCTGGGAGCAGCATCCAGACCCGATCCCTGTCCATGTCCTGGCCCATTTTGCCCGCCGCCTGATGACTTAATGAGCATAATAAGCTCAGCGCCGAAATTACCTTTTTAAATGAACATGATACCGCCCAAAGGCAGACTGGTTTCCAGGTGAGGTGTGTGGAAAACAATCCACACACACCCGCAGGACACACACACACAGGTGGGGAGTGTGCCAAATGGGGATTAAAAGTGGCATAGACAAGCGGTTACATATTCAAATTAAGATTTTAATGTTCACACAAAAGGCGGCCAGGCCAAAATAACCATTTTAAACGTGTCCTAACGAAGGGAGTTCGCTAAAGGATACCAAAGAAATGCAAATGCAAATGCAAATTAATTAGTTCCCCGTTTGATTGAGTTACAGTTAAGTAGCTTAGCGAAATCGCTGTTCCCGATAAGGTTTTGGGAATCGATAATGGCTGTGTTAATGGAATAGGCAGGCAATAAAAGCAGGGAAGAGATAAATCCCATTCAAACCCTATTGAACATTATATATATACCAGGGGAAAATAATTTAAAATTAGTTGAGCTTAGGAATTAAAGTCTATTTTAAATTCTATCAAGGGGACAGGTTATAATCCCATTTAATTGCTGGTTTTAAAATAGAAAATAAACCAAATTATTGACACAAATTTGGATAATAAATTAAGTCCATTTTTTGACAGAGAATGATATATTTTTAACACGAAAATAATTATGAAATGAAGTTTTGGCTTATGTTAAACCAATTAGTGCTCAAAATTAAACATTAAATATTTATTAAAAAATATTAAAATATAGATTAAAGCAACAGTAAATAAAATTTGAAAGCTGGAAGTGTAAGGGATGCCCAAAATGTTTACCAAGTGAAACTTCCTTTAAAATTCAAAGCAGCTTTTTCTTAAAATGAAACTGCAAGTCAGCTTTGAGGAGCTTAGAGTTCAAGTACTCAGAAAAGTCAATCACAAGTGCGAGAGTCGCTCAGGCGTTGACCCAATAACCTTTTTCCAAATTTTTGAGCAGCCGCCAGATTGCGTATACGCAACGTTAAACCGCATACACTTGCCCCGGCATGCCATAATCAAATTAAAGCATAATTTTTTACGACGTCATAGTCATAAATATGAACGATGAGAAATTGTGCCCTCAAAGAAGAAAACATGAATCATAAAAAGAAGGGGGGGGATAAGGGGCAATGCAAGTCCGGAACCGGCTGTGTGTGTGGATCTCCCTTGCAAGTGATTTCCCATTTCCGCTAAGCGGCTGGGCGAGAAAAATAAAATTAAATGTATAAATCATCTCGGCGATGCTTTAAAATTGAATACGCATTCGTCAGCAATAAATCGCTGAAAAGGAGCCAAAGGACACGGACTCCTGCAGCTCTAGTGGCTCATCTTGACTCCGGCACCGGCTCCGGACTCCTATCTGAACTCCGCTCCCCAACTTGGTCACATATGCGCTTTGTGCCGCCTCTTGGGAAATTGCTACAATTCGTTTCATATTTCATGTGGTTTCGGTTTCGGTTTTTGGGTTTTTGGCTTCCGCTTCTGTTTTTGTGGACGCGAATTTTTCCCGCCGTCTATATATATATATATATATATATACATTTTTTTTCCTTTCCGCATGAGTTATTATTGGCAAACGGGAATCCCCGCCAAAGTGCGGGCGCAATTGGAATTGTTTGCAACTGATTTGCATATTGAATGCAATAGAAAATGCGGCCTTATTTATGGCCAGCGGTTGCAGTTGCTCGCTTTTGGGCAGAGTGCAATTAGCCATGGCTTTCTGGCCACCGAGTTGTTGCATACTTTTCGCTGAGCCTTGGGCCAAGTTCAATTTGGAAATCTGGTGAAATGGCCATGAGTCAGACAATGATTTACCAAACTCACAGCCAATTAGGGCTGTAAATTCTTAGATCGATATCGAAGTGATTGCCGATCAATGTTCAACTTAATTTGGAAGGGGATTTTCCGGAGATATTAATTGAAAAAGAACTCTAATAATATTATATGATATTTAAATATTCTTTAAAATTATTTTTAAAATTTTTAATAAATAGCCAGGTAAAGCTATATTTATTTCTAGAACCCTTTTAAATTTTTGCTGGCCAAAAAAATATAAAATAATTTGTGATTTATTTTTAAATATATTTAATACATTTTAAATAAATCTAGAACCTTCGCAGTTTTAAATGCCTTTACAAGTTTCTTAGATGATTTAAATTTAATAATAATGACTACAAAATTTTCCATGTAATTGTCATAGAAATTCCTTTACAAATACATAAAATACCTCTATACCTCCTCCACATCCTATACTATTTTTCTGCTGATATCAATTAAGGCATGTAAGTGTTTTTTCATTACATTCCTACTGTTAATCATTATCATTATCTGGTTTCATAGAAAATTCACCTGATAAAGAATAAGTGCAGCTTGGCTCTGTATTTACTGGCAACTATTGCCTCACCTGCAATCGAAACTTTCAAGTGTAAATTTCCTGAAGGGTTTTACAAAGGTTTTCATTGTAATTAAGGTGTGTAAATATTTTTATTAAGTTCTGTAATCTAGCTATAGATGCACACAGGTGCTTTTCTATATCCTCCATTCATTCAGTAAAGTCGTAGTATTTGTTTGCTATAAATTTTTATTACATTCGCGGAATAAATCGGACGGCATAAACGATAAACGCATGACTTTTAATCACAAATTAAAACCAATCGTGTTTATGAGCCAATATTTGATAATGAGGGTATTAGCTCACTTTCCATTTTGACACGATCAGTTAAGAGTTAATTAAGAACACTCACACAAAGTAAAGTTGAGCTATATTTAAACCAAAAATAATCGTAGTAAATTTATTATATATTTTTATTTAATTTGAAAGGAAAAATTCAGCATAAGCTGGGATGTTATTTTTTTTAGGTAATATATTGTTATTAGAAATTGCATCGATCACTAGTCATTCTCTTGCAATCTCATTTTGTCATGTCAAATTCCTGGCTGCCTGTGCCTCTCTGCCTGTGCTCCTTGGTGTATGCTAATTTTTGGCAAACATGCTCGTTCCGGCGGAGGTCCTTTCTTAATTTCAGATGAAACAATGCGCAATGGAAGACATTGCCAAATGTACCCCGTCGGGGAATGAGGCGAAAGCCCTGTCGTCGAAACGAACGAAAATCGAATTTATGGTCTAACAAGCGCTGTCAAAATGCGAGAATTGAGTGCCTCTACGCCGGGGTCCTGCATCCTGCCCCGCCGTGTCCTCGTTCCTGGCATACATTCAGCTATTTCCTAGGTGCCGACTGTCGCTCCAGGACCCAGCTGCTCCCCAGGACATTTGCATCTCGCATATAAATCGCATTAGCAGCACGCAATTACGAGACCAGGACACATGGGTGCAGGGTTTTGTGGCTTCACATTTCCCGAGGAGACTCTCTCCGGCAATAAATAATTACGCTGATAGTTCTTAGCCTCCACACATGGCAGATAACAAATAATCAAAAAGTGGCAGAAGGCGATGTCTTGAAGGGGTATTTGGCTTTAATTTACGATTTTGTTATAAATAGTACTGGCCGCCCAATGACAATGATAGCGTAGATCAATAAAAGCGATCTAATCGCCTCAGTCGGCGGACACGATGTAGTTAGTATGTAGGTTAGTATATATCACATTTGACTAGGTACACAGTTCACCCGATTCCGGATCACAGCAGAATGGGGCACTTGTACATGATGTTGATCTTGTCAATATCCTTAGAGCTCAGGCCCACTCTCTGGCCTATCTGGGCGGATGAGTCCAGCGGCGTAATGGTATCCTCGCCATTGATGGAGAAGGCTCCCGGCCTATAGTGCAGGCAGCTGTCGTAGTCGTAGCCCACCTCGAAGTCCGTCACCACAGAGTCGGAATACTTCTGGAAATTGAACTCCTTGCCAGGCACTATGTTGTCGTAGTGCACCTCTATGTAGCCATCACGAATGGCCGAGCTCTGCTGGTGATAGAAGCCCATGGCGTGCATGAACTCGTGGAGTATGGTTCCGGGTCGGAAGCAGCCCTCGCCTATGGGATATATCTCCAGGTTCATTTCCTGCGGCTTTCCCTGATAGCCCACAGCCGTGTAGCAGCCTCCCTCCTTGGCCGTCACTGTCAGATAGTAGGTATCCTCGTCGGTGGCCTCCCGGAAACGGATGCAGGTGTTTGTCTCCAGCGTCTGGATGCCCGCCTTGATGGCATTTTTGTGAAGATTATCAAAGTCATCTGATATCCGGTAGACAATCAAGTTATTAGGCCACCTCTTTGTAGTATCTATCAGGCCATTGCGTGCCTTGGGAGCACCCTGCTCCAGCATCCTCTCCTGCTCCGCCGTCAAGACCATGTCGCCCTCCGCAAAGCCAGCAGACTCCTCGGGATCGTAGACACCTGCCGGGAGGGGCTTGCCAGAACTGAAGAGCACTTGCAATAGCAGTAAGAGTATTATTCCGATCCTCGACATCTTGCCAGTTGGGTTCCTCAATCGAGACTAGTAAATTGGCCAGGGAGCACGTCCACCTAAATATAAAACCAAAAGCCTTACCCATTTTAGATTAGATACAAACGGGCAAAAACCTATTTCGCAAACTGATAATGAATCAGGGAACGTCCAATTGGATCAAGGTTTATAACTAAAAAGTCACCTATCATCGGGGCGCCTTCTTTACGTACATTAGTCATGTAATTTACGATTAATATCGCCAGCAAACGTCACCTGTTTGCCGCAATTCACAATGATAGTAAAATAAATATGTAAAAAAGTACCGAAAGTCAAGTGGAGGCAGTGATTGAATTTTTTAAGTGGCCAGAAAATATATAAATAAAGCTTCCAGAATATGAGTAATTCCGGCCAAATCGTCAATTGATAAGTGATAAGCAACCCGACAACCGGGACACGAGTAATCGTTCCGCTAAACACAAGTGTTCATTGGGTTGTCTATTCCATGTTTGAATTGGGTTTCTTATCGCCCCAAAATATACTTTTTAAGGGACTCTTGAAAGGTAGTTAAGCATGGTTCTCTTAAGGCTTTCAGATAATACAAAACAAGAGAGAGAGAGTCTTATGTTCACTGTCCCAAATAACTGATAGGATTTTGATTTATTTATTGCATTCTAAATTATAAACCAAATCTCATCGCTTATTTTACGCTTTCACTAGCTAAAGACCATGTCAATATCATTAGTTTAGACATGGCCGTGACACTTGTACATTTTGTTAAGCTTTCTTATATCCGTTTTACTCATTTCAAACCGCTGGCCCATTCTGTGGTTGCCCTCCTTCAGGGCCACTATAGTGGGCTCGCCGTTTCTGCTGAAAGCTAGGGGTACATAGTGCATAACGCTGTCGTAGTCATAGGGCTCGCCAAAGCCATGCCAGGTGGTCGTCTTATCTTCATTCACAAAGTTCACGAAATATTCTTTGTCAATATTTTCCCACTCGATGCGAATATACTCATCTCGATTTTGGGCCACATGCTGATGCTCGAAGCCCAGGGCATGGAGGAACTCGTGTAGTATAGAGCCCATGCGGAAGCAACCCTGGTCAATCGGATAGGGCTCCAAATTAATCCCATTTAAGCTCGTCCTGAAGCCCAGAGCCATGGCATTGCAGCCATCGTTATTTCCAGTAATGTTGAGCGCAAACGGAAGCTCATTTTTCGTGGCTAGCTTGAATACGACACACGATTTGCTCATAATATCAGCCATGGCCTCGAAGATCTTTGCCAGGTGAGCTTCGTCTTGTTTAGGAACATTTTGAAATGTTAAATGTTAGTGCTTACTTATATAATCGTTATATATTATTTTATTACCAAAAACATTGGGCTGGATCACGTAGTGGACAGTGGCATTTGGCCAGTGATAAATCTTATTGCCGATCCCATTCCGGAATTTTATTCCACGATTCAGGATGTCCCCTTGATAGTATCCTGGCCGTATTTCAGGATCCCTCTCACGTTTACTTAAGACTTCCCGGCTTAAGAATAGAATCAGAGCTAATTTTATTCCTAACATTTTGCCAAGAAAAATCCAACTAAACTATCCATCTGAACGGTGGAGTAGATTATAGGTTTAGTAATGCATTTTCCATGCTTTTATGGAAGTTATTTAATTAATACAAAGATCAATTCAGTGATGCTATTTGGTACAGTAGAGAAATGCTAAGGAAAAAAATATTTTTTGGTCCTGTAAAATTCCTTATAAAATATATATTTATCAAAATATACATATATATTTTATATATTAAGCTTTGCAAGTAAAATGAATTAAAGGAATAGAGTTTTTTATCGATGCCTTATTCAAAACATCCGAAAATAATCATTCCAAAATGTATTTCTTTTATTTATTTTATGAAAATTATTATTTCTGAAATTAAAACATTTTTTCTGAATAGAAGAATTTAATTTCTAAGTTAAAAACATACGTTTCTTGTCTTATTGTGGCATACTCTTGGGGTTTATTTTTAAAAGTGTCAAAGGAAAATGTAAATGGTTATGTTTAAAAAAATGATTAATAAATATGTAACAGGAGTTCCATATTTATTGACTTTAACATATTTAATTTATTTTAGGTAAATCTTAAAATATCTTAAAAAATTCATGAAGAATAATCCCTTTAAATAAATACAAAATTTAAAATCATATTTCTAAAAATCCTACTGAATTTTTATTAAGATGGAACTCAAATCCAATCTCGATCTAATGGCAAAATATTTAATATCCCCTTTAAATTACACCTGCCTGGGGCACTTGTACATAATATTCAGCTTGTTAATATCCGACTGACTCATCTGCAGGCGCTGACCCATGACCTCCTCGGCTCCCTCTTGGAGCGGCACAATGGTCATCTCTCCATTCTTGGAGAACGCATATGCCGTGTAGTGCAGGACACTGCCGTAGTCATAGGGCTCTCCGTAATCCGTAACTGTCTCATTATCGTACTTGTTGAAATTGTTCTGCGTTCCCTCCGTAATATTCTCCTCGGCAATGCGGACATAGTCATCGCGATTCCATGTGCTCTGCTGATGATAGAAGCCCATGGCATGGAGGAACTCATGAACAATTGTGCCCAGCCGGAAGCAGCCAGAGTCCAAGGCATAGTTCTGCAAATTCAATTGCTGGACCCTGTTGAGATGACCCACATACGAGTAGCAGCCACCAGCCTCCGAGGTGACATTAATATAGTATGTCTGGTCCGTGGTGGCCTCCTTGAAGACCAGACAAGAGTCACGTTCGATGATGCGAATGCCGCGGATAATGTGATTGCGATGTTCGGTATCTGAATAATAAATAAAATATTTAATAAAATATGTTTAATTGAGTTCTCAACTATATTTCCCAATTAATTGTTAGTTCCTTTAAAAGCCTTACCAATATCCGGATTTATGTAATAGTAAACCGTGCGATCGGGCCACCTGTAGGTCTCATTAAGCAGTCCATTTCTTCCCAGTGGACTGGGTACCATATCACCCTCAATGTAGCCAGCTGTCAGCTCCGGATCGGTCTCAATCCTCTCCTGGGTGGCAGGAGCAGCCAGGCAGCTGCTGGCCAAGCAGAAGACCACCAAAGTCAATGTACAGTTCGTCATGTTGTAGGCTCCACGTTTGGGAAAATACTGATTGGGGCGCCAACTAAAACCAGGCAATGTGGTCTGCCCCTCGCCAATGGATAATTTATGGTATTTGCGCTAAAGTTAAGCTTTTATAGCCAGCTAAATTGACCAATGGTCGCCGCTAAGATGTTATCTAATCGTCAGCGGTAACCTGCCTAATATAAATTCGTATACGTAATCTTAATACACATTAGTTCTAAATGCCTTTCTTATACTATATACATATATAGATCGGGAATTACCATTGTCATCGAGATAAGATCTTTCTATTTAAAGAAAACTAATATGGCATACTTTTGGGTTCCTAATTTATATGGCTAATTTACATTTTAAATTTAAATATATATTTTCTTATAAGCTACCACATTTCCCATTTTCAACCCAGCAAAAACGTAATCAACTTTAAATTTACAAATATATTATCACCCTTAATTATATAGAACCACTTTCACAACATTTCCCAACTTCCTTGTAGTACATTTATCTTCATTTATTCTTGCGTCAAGTTTGGCAACCTCACCTTACCTGTCGAAATACAACAAAGCCTAACCAACCCTGACCTCTCCTCACTGAGTCATTTCATCTTAAAAACACCCCAATCTCACCCACAATTGCTTGCAAAAGCCTTCCCCTTCCCCAAAAATAAAGAAAATCAGTGCCAAAATTAATCTGAAAGCAAATGACAGAGACGAACATTCAACTAATTGCATTTGTCAACACAATAAACAGATTATATATATACATATATATTTCGCGGGCCTGAGGTGGCAATATCAAGGTGAAATTTATCATCATTAAGTTGAGGAAAGAAAGAAAGAGTATTCCCCTAAACAGTGGGGCAATTGTACATGGCATTTAGTTTCCTGATATCCGTTTCACTTAGCTGGAGTCTCTGTCCTATGGCATCTTCCTTGCCCTCCTCAAAAGCTACTATGGTCCTTTCACCGTTCTTGGAAAATGCATAAGGACCATAGTGCATAACGCTGTCGTAATCGTATTTCTCTCCAAAGTCATTGACCGTTGCCTCGGTATATTTATCAAAATTAAACTCCATGCCCTCGGTAATATTCTCCTCCACAATTTCCACATAATCATCTCGATTGGCGGCACTTTGCTGATGGAAAAAGCCCAGGGCGTGTAAGAACTCATGGACAATTGTGTAGAGTCGGAAGCAGCCAACTTCGATTTCATAATTCTGCAAATTCAGTTGTTGGACTCGATTTAGGTAGCCAATGTAGGAAAAGCAGCCACCCTCTTCGGAGGTAACATTCACATAATACTCCTGGTCGGTGGTGGCCTCCTTGAAGGTCAAACATGAAACGGACTCGATCTTGTGAATGGCCTTAACAATTTGGTTACGATGTTCGGTATCTGTAAAGAGAATAGAATATATAAATAAATATTTAAATACGTATGCAATTAATCCCTCACCTATATAGCTATTGATATGATAGTAAACAATCCGATTGGGCCATCGATAGGTTTCATTTCGCCAAAGATTCCTTTGGGAGCCATTGGGCACCATATCACCCTCCACATAACCTGCTGTCAGTTCCGGATCCGTTTCGATTCGATCAGCTGGCAAGGCCAAAGCCCCAGTGATCAGAACCAAAGTCAGAGATAGTATAGTAATTATTAAGACATGTTAGTTCTCGGACCTTCCTTTTCAGACTGTCTAGCCAGTTTTATAAAAGAGCCATTGATTAGTCCATTATAATAGTTAATCTATGTTATTTACGATCTCCAAAGTACTAGTACCGATGTGAAATCTAATCGTTTCAACAATCGGTAGCTATCAAAAAGGTGTTATCAATGTCTACTAAGTAACTAATTAGGGTATTAATGATGTCGGTATATAGCATATTTTTGGGGCTCTTTCAATGAATGAAGTAGTAGACTTGCTTACCCTCTAATAATGATAACAAGTCAATAATTAAGTGAACTCTTGCTAACTAATACTTGGAAAAAACAATCTTAAGTCATAAGTAAGGAACTTTATCGATTATATAATATAAAGAACATTATAAAACTCTGAGGCTAAGAACCTCTAAAAGGTTTATCTTTATAATGTTCTGATGTTCAAGCCAATTAGGTCCCATAACAAGGTTATTAAACTTTCTATATCTTTGAAATGATATTTATAAAATACTTAATACAAGAACTATTTAACGTATTCCTAATTGTTCACTAAATTATATTAAAGTAAATTTCATTCTTAACACAACTAGAATCTTAACTAGTACTACAAACTATAAATCATTAGGCCCTTAGGCTTGATATAACTTTATAATATGTAAATAAACACAAATAAAAATAGAACAAATTTAAGATGAGACTATTATTATGGCCAGGCAAATATGGTATAACCCTTATACTCTGGAATCCGTCCGGTTAGCCGCCTTATCTAGAGATAAAGCTATCCCAATGTACTTCCAGAAAGATATAAAAAGCCTCTGAAACTTGACTCTTGATCAACACTTTTGAAAATGCATTACCTTGCATTCGCAGTGCTCTTGACAATAGGACCCTTGGTCCATACTCGTCCTTCCAGTGAAATTCAAGTAGATGACGTTATATATACACCAGAGCAATTGCAATTCTTTGAAGGAAATATGACTAGTAGGATTGTTTTATCCTGGTCAGGTTATTACTGGAAAAAGAGCACTCTGGTATATAGCTTTGGCGTGGGTCTGTGTAAGTCTTAAATAATATAGCAAAGTTCTCCGTCTAAAATCTAACTCCTTTACAGCATCTGCAGACCAGGCTCTAGTAAAAAATGCCATGAAGGAAATATCATCACAGACTTGTGTCAAATTTCGAAAGACATTGAGTAGTCGCGAGCCGCAAGTAGTAATTCAACGAAAGGATGCCGGATGCTGGTCCTATGTAGGATATTTGGGCGTTACCAACCAGGAACTCAATCTTGGCAGTGGATGCATGTCTAGTCGCACGATTCAGCATGAACTGCTCCACGCCTTGGCCTTTTACCACACTCAAAGCGATCCCCAAAGAGATCAGTATGTGCGAATATACCCAGAGAATATCAAGCCCGGCCATAAACACAATTTCAATAAGCTTCGAGCTGGCGCAGTGACTGACTTCGGACTGGGCTACGATTACGATAGTATTATGCATTACGGTCCATTTGCCTTTTCGAGAAATGGAAACCCCACGATTATTCCTCTCCAGGCTAATGCAATTATTGGTCAGGCGACTCAACTGAGTCCGAGGGATGTGGCCACCCTAAATCGCATGTATTGTTAGTTTTCTTAACTTTATGTTAATTTTAACATTTTATTTAATGTGTTTATTGGTGATTTAATTAAATAATTGGGGTGATTGTTAATTTAGAAATTCATTTGGATTAAAAATTACCATACTTCACAATTTACGATATTTTTAATTTAAAATTAAACCCTGAATTTGAAACTATTTTCCTTTCAAACCAAACTTAAAGCTGCCTTTCAGAAACACTAACTTCACCGTGAAGATAAAAGAAGCGGCCCAGTCGTGTTAATTCCATATAGAACTTACTTGGCCAGACTTTACATCCTCTTCCAAAGTAATCGCAACATTTGCAATTCCAACGAGCTGTTGCACTTGACAGGAAACAAGAATCGCCCGTAGCCTCAAAGCTATACCCATCCTTAGTCGTAGCCCTATCCCTAACCCTCATCCCTGTTAATCTGGAAAACAAAAAGCCCCGACCAGCGTAAAGGAAGTGTTTGCCTTTGCGCCGGCAACTAAAAATTGAATATTTAGTGGTCGTAATTAAAAATTAGCGCGCCAGGCAACTAACCAACTAACCAAGCTACCAAGCAACGCCAGCACCAAAAGCCAACCGGAGGAGTCCTTCCGTGTAATCCCAGGACCAACTATCTGCGTGAAGCACCCCCGAATCCTCGCCTCTCTATCTCACCCGCCACACAAGGACTCGCCGCATATACATATATTTGGTTTTTTAATGGCACAAAATTGTGCTAGAGCCAAAGCTTCGCCAGAGCTACCTGCACACAAAACGGAAGTCGTAAACATTTAATTTATGCAAGCAGTGCATTTGCTTTTTTAGTTGCAGTCCAAAGATGGGCCAACGTCATCCAGTTTGGCCGAGCTCCTGTGTTGCAGCCGGGTTTTATCAGCTTTTGAGGTGGTTAGCATTAGCGACAAGCCACTTAAAATGTGTACTTACCTCTTGGATACCATTGCAAATATGGGTTTTAATTTAAAACGATTTAAGGATTTTTAAATAAATAAACAGGGAGTTTGGTAAATGAATTAAAAATGAATAGTTGTGGTTTTATGATGACCTTAGAAATTGAAATCGGTTTATTTTTGGGAAACTGTTTCTTTTTTATAATTAAAGTTTTACTTTTCTAGCCCATCTCTCTTAATGTTATATCATATAAAGCTTAAAAATAAATTTAATTTAAACCCATTAGCAAAGTCATGACATTAAAAAAAAGTTTTGAAAATGAAAAGATAAATTTCTTAGTTAAAAAAATTCTTAAACTTCGTCTTAAAACAAGTATACATTTTAGCTCTCCTTAAAAAAACTCAATTAATTCCTTTATTTTTTAAAGAAAATCTACATCCTAGCACAGCATCCCAACGCGATTATCACGCTCTCAAGTCATAATGTCTTGAGAGTTTCCTGCTTTTTATTTTTGAGAAAATATTGCCGGCATAATAAAGAGAATTTAATGGGTTAAGGCGGCCACTAGGACGCCTGGCCATCAACTTTTCGCCAAGAGCAGTAAAAAAGTCAGCTGGCAGGAGCCACGTTTCGCTTTCTTTTCCCGAGCTGCGGTTCTTTGTGTTGTGTTTTTGCCTCCTTTAACCCCCTCTCCCTTGCCTCTCCTCCTGCGATCGTTCTAATTTTATGACATTCTATTTTCATGCATAGCAAACCAGACGTATGTGTGTGTGTGTGTGGGGTGTGTGTTGGTTGTGCGAGTGCAGCCATAGCCATTTCATAGTCAGACATGAATGCTGCGCTTTGTTGCCCTGCTACGCCTTTGTTTGTATTGGCCTCAGGGGTAAAGTTTTTAGGATAATAACTTCCTGCGACTTTACGAGCCAAGGCAAAAGCCAAAAACCCACCAGCAGCAACAACAGCAGCGGCAACTAAAGGGAAATGAGAATACTTAAGCAGCCCAGTACACTGTAATTAAGGTAGCTTTTAGTTAATGGGAGAATTTATAGAGACTATTTTCAGGACAGACAAACGTTTGGTAATGTCAAGTCCTTGGGGTAATTTAGTTGAATATATTTAATTGTCAGATATATATATATATTTTTTTATATTTAACAGTAAAATTATATATTTTTATCAAATATGAGGCTCTACAATGAAACTAAGTAGGTAAAGAAAATAATGAAAAATAAATTCTTAAATTTTTCTAAGAGATTTCAATCACTATAAATAATTGGTAAGTTATGTTCTACAAATATACTATAAAAATATAAAAATATAATATAATATATATTATAAAATCAAATACAAATGTAATATAAATTCAATATAAATTCTTATAGTAGTTTTTGATAAAAAAATTTAAGTTAGTAGATGCCAAATTATAAAATTTCAACAACGAATTTTCTTTTGACATATTTACCTTCATAATTTTAAATTTATTTAATTTTTATACCTATATTTAGGTTTACTTTCTCTCAGTGCATCAGAAGAACTGCATATGAGCAACTTGGCGAAGGCGAGCCCTGAAAAATATCTCAAGAAGACCTCCCCTTGGAAGCAGGCAGCGAGTAAAAGCAAAAGCAAATGCCAACACATTTGCGACGCTGAGGGAAGATGTGCTATGTGCTGGCAGACCGCAGAAACTTTTGACGGCGACGACAGGCTAGAAAAAGCAGAGAAACAATGGTGTCAAGTTAGCTAGTTTTAAGTAGAACTTAAGTTGTTATTTTTTTAAATTTATTTAAATTATTTTCACAAAAAATTTTAAATTAAAAAAAATTGAAAATAGAAAAAGGAAAAAGCTTACATGGCTGAGCATTAAACTTTGATCTTTCTATATTTATACGTAAAAAAAATAAGTATATAAATATTGAAGACAAATATTTAATCCTAGATTTAGCTAGTTTATATATTTCTCAGATTTTTTAAATGCTCGTTTAAGTAAGCTTCACTGTCGAGTAGCAAGTCGGCAGGCATGTGGGTTAGTGGCTGCGGTGGCATATTAAAGACAGACAGCTGTAACATCAGCTCAGCACCACCGTGGCTGTGGGCATAATCTCAGACATAATTACACACACAACTCACAGGACCTGGGCAAAGGAATGCGAATGCCAGGATGCGGAGCTTTATTCAGGCTCTAAGCCAGCGACTGACAAATGCAGTCACACATGAATGGGCTTTATATTTCTATATTTTTCTGGCAGAGAAAGTTAACTTAAAGGTGGAAAATTCCACAGAGAGGCTGACTTTTCGCGAACACTCGTTCGCTGCTGGCCAAAGTTTTTAAAGTGCATTTAAAATTAATTAAGCATACGACGCGTTGCCAGTTGCATGACACGAAAGAGCGAAACCCTGGCTGCTTTATCTGGCAATTAACAAGTTTCTTCTTTTTCACTGTAATTGATTTAACGCCAACAACCCTCTCCCCCTCAAATCAAAGTTGAGCCCCTGAACTTTTCGAGCTGTAAAGAAGGGGGTTAAGACCCCCTTCTTATTCGTACTTTATTCGCATGCTGTTGCTCTCTGTGCGCGCGGCTTGAAAAGTTTAGACACAATATCGCTAATGATAATTACAAGCTAAAAACTTTATCCACATTTGCTTGCACTATCCCTATACTTATCTGTCTGTGTATTTGCTTTTAGCTTCAGTGGGCAACACAGGCATAAATATAAAATTTTCAGTGGTTAGCACAAAAGTTCCCCCAAAGCCAAACGGGGAGCGATAAGCTAAGGACTTAGCTCCCTAAACCCCCCTAAAACCCTTCTACAATCCACCGCCTGTCCGTTCTAATTAAGCTCTATTGTTACGGCTGGCAGTCAATGCTTATTAAGATATCGGGCATTAGATACTAGCAGCTGGGTAATAAGATATTAATCCATGTGGGAGAGATACATACATATACTAAATGTGCCCTAAAATAATAGACTTTTTGGACTTCCTTTAAATACAAAATTTAAAGAAATTAAATAAATTAAAATAACAAAAATTAATGAATTTATTATATTTAAATGTTACTTAATTTATATGAAATATTTTAATATTTTATTTATTTTCTTTATTACCAAACAACATTTTTTTATAATATAACATTTTTAAAGATTCTTGCTTAGAATTGTGCCTAAAAGTCAGCACAAAACTATCTCTCTCATCAAAATGTAAGAAAAACCCCACCAGAAATTTAGGACTCTTAATACTCCACTAATCAAAGGTAACCTTAACCCTTTATCCCAACCAAAACCCCGGGGTAAATAACACTCATTAGCCCGCGGACCAATGCAAGGCAAACAATTCAATGGCCGGCACACATTTCCCAGTCAAACAACATGGCGCTAATGAAGTACAAATTGGCTAATGGGGCAGGTCGAAGCCAGAAATCGACGGCAATGGAGATGGTCTAATTATCAATATCAGGATATTATGGGGCAGAAGACACAGAGACAGGCGCGAGCGGGGGCTTTTTATGTGAAAACTTTTGTGCATTTTCATGGCGAAACTTTAATGGATTAATTTACCAAAAACGTTCGTGCCAAAGGAAATTGAAACATAGTGGGTGGTGGTGGTGGATGTGCGACGGGCGATGGTGAATGCGAATTTTCGCGATAGGCAGAGAGTCTCCGCCAAAGTTGAAGATTTATGGCTTACGCCGGAGACCCAAACTCCATTCGAAATGCCGGCTTAATGGCTGCTGATCATTGCTGGAGATGGCAAAACATGCACAACTGAAAATTTTCCGGTTTTTTAAAGCAATTTTCTCTGGTGATATTCTAATTTCATTACCCACCCGTCGGGGCAAAAGTTTTATTAACTTTTTGCAAGTTTTTGCAGCAAAGCACTAAAATCATGAATATTTTATTGCATATTTTCCGACACACACACGGAGAGACAGCCCTGAAAAGCGCAAAAGAAACAAAAGTCAATGATGCGTGTGAGCTGGCTCGCCTTTATCAATTTAATTTAATTAAAATTAATTCAGCAATAATTGACTTTTAATATGCAATCATTTGTATCAGCGGACTAGAGTCGCAGAAGGAGGCAGCAGTTGCAGTAGCCGGAATGCCGGGAATGTCCGGTTTCCCGCTTGATATGCCATTAAAAAATTCTGAATTATTTAATTGCTCATTTGTCGACGCTGCATTGAGGTGAGAAATGTGAAGTACGAGAAGGATGCCTGCAAAATCTGTGAAAAATAAAGAGAGGAGAGAGCTGACAATCGATTGCTGTTGTCCCTGCCATAAATAATACTCACCTTCAAGCCCGCCTGCAGGCTGACGCGAAAGTATTTCAGACCAGTTACATAGAATGGTTTGCTGTGCATCTCAATAGCCAGGTTAATGAGCTTCAGCAGGCGCAGATTCTCCTGCGGATCTGTGGAGTGCTCCAGGACCTGCTCCCAATGGGTTAGATAGTACATAGAGCTAAGGGAATCTGTCTGTAGAGTGGGTTAATTTCACAAAATTATAGGATAAAGATACTCATACTCACCGTATAGGCCAAGTTTGATCCTATTTGTCCCAGAGATAGCAGCTCCACAGTTTTGGCACAAAACCATATGGCATATATGTAGTTGGCCATGGGATTCTGTTGGGAAAATCCTCAAATTAATACTATATATATTTTTTTAGTTGATAAATATTTATAACCTACTCACCGTATAGGCCTTGAAAGACAGAGCACACAACAAAGCCGCTGCAAAGGCAAACATAATGAAAACTCTCACGGTATACTGGACCTCCAGCTGCTCGCCAAACTGATTCAGAGCCACATTCTTACGCAAAGTTTGTATAATCAAATCCTTTAGCTGCTTGGCCATCAGAGGACGCTCTCGTTTAGCCAAAATCCTTTGTATTGCCAATTCCAAGTCCCTTTTCAACAGCAAATATTTACCATTTAAATGGACAATCAGTTCGCAAAGCAAACTGGTCTCTCCAAACATCATGGAATCGATGATGATGCCTATCCAGACATTGCTCAGCAGCAGAGGCACAAAGATGTGCAAAGGTTCCGTATCAAAAGGAAATATCATGGAGTAAAGAAAGTCCTTCCTCTTGTTGATGATCGAAAAGACAGGAACAATGAGATATCCAGAGATAACAGCTGTATACATGGCGGAAACCAAACGATTGATGAGCATTTGACCATCAACTCGACGAAACATTTCCGGCTCCTTGCGAGGATCTATGTAAATAGTGGTATAAAAACGATGCAGGAACTTCTGCAGCGGCTCAAAGTTGAACAGAATATGAAGACTCCGGAACTGGGCCTCCACCAAGATCAAATAGGTGGGCATTCCGGTAAGAAACTCATCCATATTTCTATTTCCAGCCTCCACGCGTAGATACCGCAACTCCGCATCGTTGTGCTGGACAAAGATGACACAACCCAGGACGGCCAGTACTCTGTCTAGATATCGTGCCCACTTGCCCGTACTGGGATCCAGGGGCCAGAAAATATGATTCAATCGGAAGAGGGCCAAGGGCCAGGCCAACTTCACCTTCTGACCATCAGCAAAACGGGGCACGTAACGAACCATAATGAACCAGAGACTGCGGAGTAATGCCTGTGAAATAGGGTCTCAACTTCAGCTTATATATATCAGCATGTAACCAGGATTAGAGTCGAGAGAGGGAGACGAATGACAGTTTCTCAACTTTTAAATGTACTCTCCCATGCGTGCAATGGCTCAATTAAGTTATTATCCTTCAGTTCCAAGCCGAACGGAAAGGAAACATTTGAAAGTTTCACATTAATATTGCCTCATTTACCATGTAATGGCTTGTCCTCAAATATTTGAGACAACTTTTCCAGGACCAAGCCAAAAGGGAATTGGCTTTTATTTGGGGCTATTAAACGCAGGTAATGATGTAAACAAGGACAAACATAAGGGAAAAAAGGTGTGTGAGTAAGGAGTTTCAGGGAAACTTTTAAGAAGAAATATATGTGAATTTATTATCCGCAAAAGTTATTTTTTCACTCAGATAATTATCAAAAATTATTCACAGCACACTAAAACAAGAGTTATTTTAATCATTTGTGTATTATTTACATAAAAATGTATTAAATAATCAGTAAACACGTTAGAGATAATATTTATTTAAATCACATTCATAGACACAAACGATTGTGAAGGCAGAAAAATAAACTATAATAAATGTCTTTACTAATAATTATCCTGGAAATAAATATCTGACATAACCAGGTTATAAACTGACATATTTTTGCGGACATTTTTCCAGCCATGAACTCTCTGCTGGAGCATGAAAAACTCACTTAACAAATTCATAAAAATCAATTAATTCAGACGCGCAACTTTTGCACGCTTCTGCAGCTTTCCCCGGATTACTCCCAGCGATGCCATTTGTCCAGGACCTCCTCCGCACACTCCGCATCCCGCTGTCCTGGCCTGGTCGGGAGATAGTGGCAACAGTTTGTGTTATGAATATTTTAAGAGGCAGCCGTCTGTCTCTCCCTTGTCTAACCGAATAGAAAAACGACAATAAGGCAGCAGCAGTAGGGCCACAACAGTGAGGCGAAAAAAAAACAAGTAAAGGAAATAAAGGACTGGAAGGACTGCGAGGAGCTGCAACTGCGGCGTAGAAACTGCAGTTTGCTCGCCACATTCATCTTAATTTCCTGTCACGACAATGACAACGAGGTTCGTTGCTTCGCTCGTGGTTCGGTGGGTGTCCCTCAGCACATCCTGGCCAGCCATCTAGCCATCCAGCCAAGTGTTCGTCTAGCCAAGCGGCTGACCAAAGTCCAGAAAACAACAGGAGCCGCACATTTCACTGCCATTTTGTATGCACTTTGCTGGAGGGATACAATGTATTGTTTATGAGGTTTGCCATTCAACCTGACTTTCTTCAAGTTCAAAGTTTTAAGCCCAAATGAGGTGAGAGTCCTGAATGGTTAATGGCATCTTTGAATTTTTAAATAATAATTTAAAGTGCAAAATTGAGAATAAAGTCTTCAAGTTTTCTTATACTGCTTAATAACATTATGTATTTGGGTAACAGATATAATAAATGCTGTAATATATTTTCTTTAAATAATTATAAATCAATTATTAGAGACTTACTAATTCATCTTAGCAAATGTACTCTTCTTTCCCCTTTCAGTTTTTTTCGTGTTGAGCGCTTTTTAAGCCTTTGTAGCGGTTGTTGCTTTGGCTTTAGCCTTGGCATCTGTATCTGTAGCTGTATCCTGAAACTGTGCCGGCTTTGTAGCCCATAGATGGAATTGCTGGACGATCTCTCTCACTCCCTCGTCCTTGGGCATCCTTGTGCGTGGCTGGGCCAAATGCTGTCAAAAAGCAAAGGGGCCAGAAGCGTTTTGCCCAGGCGTTTCGCATAAACAAGGGTGGTGCCCTCATCCGTTCCACTATACCCTTTCCACAATCCGCTGTCCGCTGTCCGTTGTCTGTTGTCCTTTGTTCGTTCGCCGTTCCTGCCACCCAACTCTTTTGCTCGATGTTATCGCGTGCCACAGGATATTGCACTCTAAGCCAGTAGATGGCGTCATGTAAAGCTGGACAACATCCGATTAAAACTTTACGATGTGCGTGTGTCCGCCAGTTCTACTCGTTCCTCTGTTTTTCTGTCTGCGAATGCGAATTGGGAATGGGAATGGGAAAGGGCAAGGAGGGTCTCGTTGGTCAGCAAGTGGATAAATTCTCATTTACTGCTCTTTTAAGCATGCTGTTTTTGTCGCTTCTCCTTATTCTTGATTTGCTAGTTGTGCTTGGCCAGAAAAACAATCGTATTGGGGAATCTAGGACTTGGTCTTGGACTAATTAAATTCAAACTGATTCAATACTGAAATGGCGTATTTGTTTATTAAACAACAATCAAGCCTTTTTACTTTAATTATGGATATTGTTTTAATATTTATGTGGTAAAATATAAAAAAAAAGAATATATAATTCATTAAATTTTAATATTGAAACTTACAGGAACTTTGTATCTATCTCATTATACAATTTACAGGTTAAAGTGATAACCCAAATCAGTGGTTTTTTATTAAAAAGCATACAAAAATATATGTTTTTATTAAATAGTCTTGTTTTTACGACCCATTATTTGCAAAATTTTTAAAAATTCACCTTTTCCCTCTGGAACTTGGTATTTATTACCCATTAAGTCAATAACAAATTTCTAAAAAAATAATTCTTTTAACACCTTCTATAATTTTTTCCTTGAAAAAATCACACTCAAAATGTATTTCCGAAGCATTTCCTGGTTCACAGGGAATTTCCCCTTGGAGTAGAGGTATCAATTAGTCCACCCCCCTATAAGTCCAAAGTTCACGGCCCGCTGTCGTTCAGTTTCAGCGTGTAAATTGTCCACTGGTTAGGGGTACTCGTCGGCCAAAGGACTAAGGACGAGTGGCAGGGTAATAGCGCGGCATGTTAAACTGACCGCAAGCATTGTTTATCATTAAGTGCGGCCCATGGGCAGAAGGACATACATATACATATGTGGGCGAGGGAGGAGGGCCATGGAAAAGTGCTTCAGTTCGGGATTGGGCCAGTTCCCCGGGTCAGCATGTGTCACATGACATATGTGCTTCCCGGAATGTACTGAGAGCTCTTCGTCCACGGGCTGTGCACAACATTTTTCTGGTTTCCTCTTCTACACAGAAAACAATTTTAAAAATAGAAAATAAGAAAATTAAAAATAGAAAAATCTAGATACTTATAAAAAAAGACAAGAATAATACATACAAGTCCCTGAAAACTTAATAATATGTTAATACTTTTTTTAAATATATTTTTTTAGAATATCTTAAGACATATTCAAATATTTCTTGACGTAAATAAGGGTGTTTTTCTATTTTATTTTAAAATTTAATTAAATTTTGCAGAAAATGAAGTCTGTTTCTGAATTTAATTTGTGATTATTATTTCTTCTTTAATTTTTCCTACTGTACAGCTTTTTTTCGGCTGGCCAAACATGTGTATTGCGGCTGCCTTGGGTTAATGGAGTCGTTAGTTAGGGCCACTAAAAACCAAATGAAAAGCTCAACTTTAAGCGCCCAAACATTAAATAAAGGAAATAAAATAAACTTAAAAGTTTATTTTTTATTTTTTTTAGCCATTTTCGGCAAGCAATTCAGCTCTGCCCGCCTTTTGCAGCGAGTGCATGCAAAACTTTTGTAATTAGGAAGCAATGTCGGTCATTAGTGCGGCAGCTGGGGGCCCCGGGAAGGAGGGAGTGCAGCCCCGGGGAGATGGCCACAAAAAGGCGCCGGCAGTCAAAACAACAATGCAAATGTGCAGCAGCGAAAAACCCCAAAAATTTCCTTCCACATGGAGGAAGATGGAATGCACTTCCATAAAGTCAGAGAAGTCAGAATATTTGCAGCGAGATAATTACGAATTTTCAATGCGGCTTAAGATAAGAGGGTAAATTATGGCTCGTAGACATAACCAAAACACAAAGATATTTCAAGGATTTTAAGGAATTTCCTTCACCTCACATTGTGTTTAATTAATTAAATGATTAATTTAATATAATATTAAAATAAAACCTCTTAAAAATGTGTCATAAACCCAATCGACAAAACTCCAGACTGCCATTGAGACAATGAAAAGGAACCGCACCGCGATGGCAATTGCAGCCGACAAAAAATATCAACGAAAAGGATTTTTGTCCAGGAGCTGGACAGAAGCCGACTGGACTAGCTGGACTCCGGCATCGGGCATCGAGCGCAATTTTAATAAAGTTTGAATGCAAAACTTTCCGATTTGAAATGCGCATAAAAGTTAACTATTTCCGACGGTCCAGCGGAGCTGCCTGAAAAGTGAAAAATTCGAGAATGTGTGTGAAAAAGTTGCCATTTTTGCGGTGATCATTCGATGGTCTGAGATGGAGCTTAGAGTCCAGAGTCCCCAGCCGAGAGACCTCCGACAAGCAGCGGATGTGACCACCACGCCCACGCCCCCTCCCCCATCTGACTGACAGAAGGCGCTGTCCTTGTCGCAATCTCAGTCTCCTACTGGCCCTGGCCATAAATTAAAGCCAACAAACCGAGGGCGGAAGCAAAAGTAGCAAGCTTGGGGATGGGTTTTCAACAGCCAGGACAAGTGGATTTTCAGCCATTGCATCTTGGCCACGGAATTGAAATAGGAGTTGGAATGCGACTGAGCCAGGAACTGTGACTGTAACTGTGACTCCCACTGAGCGGAAGCCCAGGCTGTGCTGCTAAGTAGCCTCGAGCTGGCTTGGTTAACGATCAACTTGGACACTTGCTGCAAAAGCAACTTTAAAAATAAATAAAAAATTGTTTTTTCATTAAATTTTCTTCAGAATTTATGCCAGGATTAATAGGGATTTTAAACGGCGCCTAAAAATAGGGCATCACATTTTTAGTAGAAATTTTTAAGTAGAATTTTACTTGGAATTTGTTACATAAAATATTTAATTGTATACTTTTGTGGGGCCTCAAAAAACCAATTAATCTAAAACTGATTTGAAATATATTTTTTAATTTAAACAAGAAAGGAAGCTAACTTCGGCACGCCGAAGTTTGTATACCCTTGCAGATATTATTTTATTGCATTTTACCTATACTTATTATGTTGAGAGTTTGACAGTTACAGTTTTACATTCCCAGTTTTACATTTTCCCTATACCTACCGATCGGTTTATATGGCAGCTATATGATATAGTTGTCCGATTTTCATAAAATTTATACAAAAATTCTGAACTTATAAAATAAGCGTATATCTCAGAGTAGATAAAAATAGTTTGAAAAACAACGAAGTTATAATTTTTTTCTATTAATTTCCTGATCGTTCCTATGGCAGCTATATGATATAGTCGTCCGATTTTCATAAAATTTTTACCAAAATTCAAAAATAATATAAAATGGTCATATGTAAAAAATAGTGCACATATGTTGAAAAACAACTAAGTTACAATTTTTTTTTTCTAAAAATTTATCGAACATTTGTATGGCAGCTATATGATATAGTCGTCCGATCCGGCCCGTTCCGACATATATAGCAGTGAGAGCATATAGAAGACTATATGCAAAGTTTCATTCAGATAGCTTTAAAACTGAGGGACTAGTTTGCGTAGAAACAGACAGACGGACAGACGGACAGACGGACAGACGGACAGATGGACAGACGGACAGACGGACATGGCTAGATCGACTCGGCTGTTGATGCTGATCAAGAATATATATACTTTATAGGGTCGGAAACGTCTCCTTCACTGCGTTGCAAACTTCTGACTGAAATTATAATACCCTGCAAGGGTATAAAAATTAGTTTTTTGTTCAAGTATAGACCTGAGAGCTTGCTTCTACTTAAGCATAATGAATGAAAATTCACCTGCTTCCCAAAGGTATAGGAATTTGGAACCGAACTACTATCTAATAGCATGCTGATAGATTAGAGGAGTAAATACCAAATCCTTGGGGTTACAACTTGAGATTACAACGACCTCTTATCACCAAATCAATAAATAGATTCTGTATTTATAAGTCCAATTTTTGTAATATTTATAAAGCTTTGTGGGCTCCCGAACTCAGTTGAAAATGACTTCTACGTGGATTCACTTGCTTCTCTTGGGCAGTCTCTGCTCTGGTGTAATCCCAGCTCCTTTGGATACTCCTTATGAGGAGCAGGATCCCGAGCTGACAGCAGGATATTTCGAGGGGGATATGGATGTGGTGCTTGGGCGGAATGGACTTTTACCGCCGACACGCCGATGGCCAAATGCCAAAGTACCTTACAGGATATCTGAGGAGTTTGGTGAGACTTAAATTTAAAATTTAAATTTATTTAAATATATATATTTTACAACTATTATGTCCCCTCATCACAGACCCTCTCCAAGTGGCCCACATAGAGCTGGCCATGAAAATCATCGAACGTTCCTCCTGCATTCGCTTTGTGCGCGCCGCTAAAGATGCGGAGGACTATCTGCATGTGATCACCTCTACGGATGGTTGCAGCTCCCAGGTGGGCTATGAACCTGGCGTGCGAATCTTAAGGCTCATACCTGCCGACCTAGACGTACGCTGTTTCAGATTGGGCACACTCCAGCACGAGCTTCTCCATACCCTGGGATTCCGCCATCAACAGTGCTCTCCTGATCGCGATGAGTACGTGAGAATCTTGGAGGAGAATATCATCGATGGTAAAGAGAAGTTCTTCCTCAAATACGACTCCTCCGAGCTGGAAAACTTTGATCAGCCCTACGACTATGCCAGCATTTTGCACTATGGTCCCAAGGCCTTTCCGGCAAATGGAAAGCCCACGATTGAGGCCCTGAGTCCCGAAGGTCAGAGCCAATTGGGCCAGCGTCTGATCATGACTGAAATGGATATCAATAGACTAAACATAATGTACAAGTGTCCAAGTCCATTGTAAAGTTTTTCCATTAATATTTATTTTATAATTAAAGTTTCATATGAAGAAGGAATTTTTGTTTAAAAAAAAAAAGTCATTTTATAAGTTTTCAATTTTCTGAATGGCACTGCACACGTTTGATATAGCCTTGAGATTACCTTGGCATTCACCCCACTTTGGCTTCAGGTTATGACTGCATTTCAAAGTCTGGTACCCGATACCATGAATAATGTAGAATAATACTTATTCTATTGACTCTGCATTGTATGTTAAACATGTGCATAGCAACACCGAACGCATTCGAATTGAATAGAATTGAGTGAGTACCGGGCACACAATGAAACGAAATTGTATGTGTAGGAGTGAGTGTTGAATCTTCATTTAGTGAAATTTAAGTAATAGGCGAAATAAAGGAATTTTTTCTGCCCAGCATTCGAATAGATTCGAGTCTCGTTGTCTTATTTCTTAGCGTTCTCATTTACTCCGTTTTCGGTTCGAATCGACGTCTGTGGAGCTCACTCACTCATATCAGAGAAGCCTCATTCAAATTCACTCAAATCATTTGGATCTAAATACATTTGTTTGAGGCTGTGTCCGTTTTGTGCCCGCTGTTAACGAGACTGGTTATTTATCAGTGCTCGTGTCCGCCCTAGGATGCAATGCACACTTGGGTTATGCGAATAGTACTAGGACTCTAAATCTGGTCCCAAGTATTTTAGACAAAGGCTGCTTCAAACTCGCAGTCATTATTCATGAGCTGCTCCACATTCTTGGATTCACCCATATGCAGAACTCCCCTGATCGGGATAAGTACGTAAAGATTGTGAAAAAAAATATCATAGTGGGTAAAGAAATGGCGTTTGAAAAAAAAAATACTGCTAATTTTAACACCTTTGGTCAACCCTATGATTATGGTAGCATTATGCACTATAATGCCTTAGCCTTTTCGGTCAATGGTCTGCCCACTATGAAGGCCTTAAAGGCAGAGGGTAGCGCCCTAATGGGGCAACGCATAAAGATGTCTAATATCGATATTATAAAACTCAATAAAATGTACAAGTGCACTACTTAAATGTAAACAAAGAAATATGGTAAATGCAAGTATTGTTGGAATTAAAATAAAGTTTGTTTTTGTTTAATCGGTTGGCAAACTACACTTGTTGGTGATCTATTTTGGCTAACAAAACCTGTTTAGAAACAGAATTAGAAGATAGCTACTAAATTGTTAAAGTAAATCACTTGAAATATAAAATCCATCTACATTATCTTCGAGGAGTTTGGTATGAGCCTATATGATATAGGGAGATTTTTTTACATTTGTTATATGTTTTTTTACAGATGCTCCCTTTGCTGAATATATTGAGCAGGCCATGCGTATAATCGAGTTATCTTCTTGTGTTCGCTTTGTGCCCGCTACTGACGAGGAAGTCTATTTATTTGCCATTCCGTCTACCAACGGTTGTAGCGCAAATTTGGGCTATGGAAAAAAGGTTCGATTTCTGTATCTTACACCTGTTGGGCTTGATAAGGGCTGCTTCAAAATACCAGTCATTCAGCACGAGCTCCTCCATATCTTGGGCTTTCAGCATCAGCAGAGCTCCCCGGATCGGGATGAGTACGTAATGATTATGGAGGAAAATATCATTGAGGGTCGCGAACACAACTTTGCGAAGCTAGATTCCTCTAAATATGGAAACTATGATCAACCATATGATTATGGCAGTCTTTTGCACTATGCTCCTTATGCATTTTCGAAGAATGGTGAGCCCACTATTGTGGCTCTCAACCCAGAGGGTCAAAGCCAAATGGGTCAACGGGTAAAGATGTCTGAGGTTGATATTAACAGACTTAATACCATGTACAAGTGCCCCATTCAAACGTAAACTTGGGAGAAACTATTTCTAAGACCATAAAATTTACAATTTAATATTAATTATAAATACTTTGAAATAATAAAAGAAGAAAAAAAGACTCTAAAATATTCACTAAACTCTCTTGTAGATTTTGCAGTTTTTCCAATTCCCTTGCTTATCTGTAATCAGTGACAAGTAAGTGGTTTTATAGCCTCATGCTTTTGCGATAATTAACAAATTATTAACAGTTAATGCCATTTAATTCAGTCTAAAATGATTGCTGCTTGGACCCACTTGTCCCTGCTGGGCATTCTCTGCTCTGGCGTGTTGTCAGCTCCCTACAATACTCCTCGTGAGGAAACGGATCCCGAGCTGACAGCTGGGTACTTCCAGGGGGATATGGATGTGGATTTTGGTCGGAACGGACAGCTGTCGGAGACGCGTCGCTGGCCAAGTGCAACAGTTCCCTATAGGATCTCTGAAGAGTTTGGTATGAAAACTAAAGATATTTGTCAACAAAGAGATTTTATATATTTTTAAAACCTAGATGCTCCCTATGTGGCCTACATTGAGCTGGGCATGAAATTAATCGAACGATCCTCTTGCATTCGCTTTGTGCCAGCTGCTGAAGACGCAGAGGACTATGTTGCGGTGATCACCTCCACCTCGGGTTGTAGCTCCAAGGTGGGCTATCAGCCAGGTGAACGAACCGTTAAACTCAAGCCAGGAGAACTGGACACGGGTTGCTTCAAACTCGGAACCATCCAGCACGAGCTACTCCATACCTTGGGCTTCCATCATCAGCAATGCTCTCCCGATCGGGATGAATTCGTCCAAATAGTGGAGGAAAACATTTCCGAGGGTCACGAGAAGAACTTTGTCAAGTACGAGGCCGATGATGTGGGGGACTTTGATCAGTCCTATGACTACAGTAGCATTTTGCACTACAGTTCCATGGCTTTTTCGGTGAATGGCAAGGCCACCATTGTGGCTCTCAAGCCGGAGGGTCAAGAGTTAATGGGCCAGCGTTTGATAATGACTGCCACCGATATCAACCGACTTAATACCATGTACAAGTGCCCAGTGCCAGTGTAACATTTTGCAATAAATATTTAATTTAGCAACAAACAAAAACCAAGTACTTTACAATTTTAGTAATCTTATCGGGAATCAATCGGAAGTGATTGTAAATGATTATTATAAGGTAAGCTATTATCAAGTTAAAGGCTTGGTTACTTTTGGAAAATTATATTCCGTAGAATACTATAAGATAAAACAATGTTTATAATTTATGAAATTTATACAATATTTTTTTAACCTTATAATGTTTTGCCAAGGAATAATACTTATTAACTTTGATTTACTAAATAAAATTGTGACATTGCTTTCACTGTCTTTCCTTTTAATCGAAGTTTGTTATTCGCTTATCAATAAAAATTATAAGCACTTAAAAAAACAAGTGATTAATGATAAGTTCCTGCCTGACATTTTTGACTTGTGAGGTAAAATTTTCCCCTTTACTTTCTCTTGAGTTTTTGGTCATTTTTACCCTAATTTCAGCATATTACATATCTGTATCTATGTACTTAAGATAAGAAAGCGAACTACCTTATCAGTTACCTATTTTATAGCTCTGCATTTTCCAAACAAGTGAAACTTCAAACCGAAAAGTTCACGCTCTTTCACCTGGACACGAATATAGCTGCCGCATCAGCTGATTAGATAACAGCCAAGGGGTTTTATCTTATCAGCACTGGAAGTGTAGGGTAAAAGGGTTATGGGGAATATTAATTCATTAAAATATTTTGTTAAGGAATAATACAAAAAAGGGTTTTTTGATAAATTTAACATAAAATTTAAGCGTTAGAAAATTACAATGACAAGATATTGGAATACTAAGAAGTAATTAAACGTAAAAAATATTAATAAAGTAATTAATTATTAATTCATCATTATTATTAGATTATTACAAATGCATTATTCATCATTAAAATTAGACAATGAAATAATAAATACCTAATTAATTCTTTAAAACTCGAAATAAACTAATATAACCAGCCACTGGAAGGCAGCTCAACAGTTAGTCATGGCCTGAACTCAGAGACAACGTTCAGTTCAGTCGAGAATTACGGAGCGTTGCCATAGCAAGCGCCTCCAAAATGACGAATCATTAATTCCAGTCAATGAAAATTATGGTCGTGGCCAGCATATGGCTCTGCAATGTATCGTAAAACCCAAGATGTGGTTGGGCCTTAAGCAGATCCTGCTCTACGTGGGTCTCCTGCTCTGCGTCCTCCTCCAGGTGTGCAGGAGCAAGACCCAGCTACAAATGTTCTGTCCCACCGTTTGCCACTGCGATCTCCACGCCCAACGCAATAGGGCAATATGCAGGTGAGTTATCAGGGGAAGTACTTCTTTTTTTATTATTGATTATAATTATTAAATAATTATTTAATAATAAATATTTATTTTATTTTCCAGTGCCAAGCGCTTGATAAGCGCCAATATAGAAATGCCAAAAACTGTCGAGTTGTTGGATTTAAGCTACAATGATATAACCAGCATTGATGATGACTCCTTTAAGGCAAGTGGATAAATATTTTATAAAATCAATTTATGAAGAGTTTGATTTGTTCTTTTATATAAAAATATATTTTTAAAATGCTTAGAGATTTTTTATCTATGACAAAGACCATTTAATTCCTTTTAAGTACTAGCAGCTTTTTATAAAGAAATTAGTCACAACCTTTGTTTGTATAGAACCTATAAAACTTATCATAAAAACAATCATATTTTTTATATTTACAAGTTCTAAGGAATTTTATCATTATTTTTTTTACATCCACAGACCACTATTCACCTGCTTAACCTTACCTTAGCCCACAATGCCATTAGCACCTTGTATGGCGATGCCTTTGCCGAGCTGCACCGTCTTCGGTATCTGGATCTTTCGTATAATCGCCTGGAACAGATCGATGAGCATATCCTGGAGGCCAATGGCCAATTGATCCATCTCAATCTGGAGGGCAATAAGCTGGCTACCCTGGGAAATGGACCCATATTGAGGAGTCCTTCGCTTCGCTCACTCAATCTGCGAAATTCCCAGGTAAATCAGTTGGGTTTGGTGCTGCTAAGTGCCCTGCCCCAATTACGCCAGCTGGACTTGGCCCAGAACCTCCTGTTGACGCTAAGTCCTGGGGATTTCCATGCTCCTCGATATCTGGCCTCGTTGAATGTGGAGGAAAATCCCTTCAATTGCGATCGAGCTTTGGCCAAAGTGGCAACCGGATTACGACAACGTGGAGTGGCGCTCTTCATGAGCGATTGTGTGGAGGAGGAGCAGGTGAAGTCGGATTTGGTGGAAATCCAGGAGACGGCCACCATGAAGTTTGAGCGTCTGGAGCATGTGGAGTCGCCCAGTACCCAGGGACCTCAGTCGGTGCTGGAAATCTGGCGTGAACTGGACTCCAGTGAGGAGGACAGCAGCGATGAAGAGGACAACGGCCAGATGTCGTCGCTAAGTGATGTTTGCGAGGGAAGTCGCGAGAAGCTGTGTCTGCGTTACCGCACCTGTCTGGAGCGTGTGAGTCATGAACTCCTCGCCGGCGGAAACTCCCAGCTGGATGATGACAAGGAACGCACGCACACCTACGACGAGGACGACCTCAAGCTGGCCTTTATTGTGGGAGGAGCCACTGGCGTCTGCATGGTCATCTTCATCATTACCTTTGCTCTCTGCCTCAAGAGTTGCTGTGAGATGAGGAAGAAAAAGAGCAGCGAGGAGGTTACTGATGGGGATTCGGGTAGGATTGCATATGGATATATTTCTAGGTACATTAAACTTTAAATTTTAATCTGATTATCCTTTCAATTCCAGCCCCTCTGGATCCTTCTCAGGACAGCCTTCCCACTATCCACACTTGGACCCCACAGCGGTCACGTCATCCCAGGCGCTCGAATCCCCAGCGCCCACACAGCTCCTCGTCGCGTGCCATTGTCCGGCAGCCCTACGGGCCACAGGATAACTTCGTTAACCGCCTGTTTGGACGACCGGCAAGGAGTCAGTACTACCGGACTATCAATCAGAACACGGCCACGCTCATCCGGCGTCTGAGCCGGAGCAACCTGTTCAGCAGTCGCGATCGAGAGCCAGTCACGCCAACGACACCGCCACCGACTTCTACCACCCGTTTCTACACGGATGTGGTGGAAAGAGGAGCAGCCAGGCCGGAGACACCGCCTCCAAATTATGGAGACGTGGTGGTCATCGATAATTGTGATACGAGTAACAAGTGATGTCGTCCCACCATTTCGTCTTTTGTAGTTTTTAGATATTTTAAGATACCTCATTTAAAATAAAACTAAATTCAATTGAAAAAATATATATAAATAAAATAAGTTTAAGGAATCTTTATCGTAAAAGATTTTTAATATTTTGAAGAAGAATAAAATGTAAAACCTGTATTATAATCAATCAAGTGAGAGCTTTGCTTTTATTATATAAAATTTAAAACCAGAATTTCCTGAAATATTTTATTTATATTATTTAAAGAAATATTCCAGTTAAACTCTTTAATTCTAAAGTTATTTTTTACTTTCATTAAAACCCGCAAAAATATCCCCTTTAGCGTATCCCCAACATCATGTTCAGCAAGCCCCTGAAAAAATAAGTTTAAACATTTCTTTATTCCCATTCGCTTACTCGCAAAAATATCAATTGGGGAATTCCCGCATTTTTGCTTCCTCTTCTTGCCGTTTCTTGGATGAGCATTACTTTTACAAGACTTGGACTTGCAGCTGCAACAAATCGCAATAAAAACTTTTGACAAAACTATCAAAGTTGGCATGGGGTATGGCAGAACCAACTGTGAAATTGCCACAGGAAAATCCCCAAAAAAAAAGGGAATTCAAGTAGCAAAAGTTTACACACTCAAATAAATGGTAAGGAGCGGAGCACCCCCCCGCTTTGCCGACAGACAAATCGAAAAACACCACAAAAGCAAATAAAAACCGCACGAAAAAATACTATAAGAATAAAACTGCAAAAAAACTGAAAGAAAAGAACGGCAAACCCAACAATTTGCACTGCAAAGCGGCAAAAGTGTCTCCAAAGAAACAACCACCAAAACCCAACCAGATACCACCAAAAAAATAAGAAAATATATATTTATATATGTATATGTGTAGGTATATATGTATATATAAGAAAAGAAAGAAAGTCCAAGTTATGTTGCAATGATGGTAAAAAATTCAATGTTGTTGTAGAATCTGTATGTAATAAAGCACTCAGAGAAGGGCCTTATAAATAAATTATAATATCTGAAATCGAGAGGAATATAATTTAATTTGGTACTCCTATTTATAATTAAGAAAGATTTAAATAAATAAATATATAAATGAATTTTATGTACTTTAAGGAAAATATATTGGATTAACAATCAAAAGTTTCTAATTGTCAGTTTACAAAAATTTTAAAAGATGACTTTCAACGCTGAATAATCTACTTTCTTAAACTATTTTCTGTACAAACTCCTTACTTTATTTAAAAAAAAATCAAAAAAGATAGGATATATTTCGAACCCATTTTATATTAATTTAATATCCAAATATCTAGGCTTCGAATTCTTTAAAAATCCCTCTGTAGATATCTAAAATTGAGCTAGATAAAAACCCTGCCGGCAATTTTGCACTCCTTAATTTTTCTTCATTTGCCAGTTCGTTTGAAAAGCAAATTTGCTGTGTGGCATCTTCTAGTGTTCTGTTGTTAAGTGTTTGTCTGGTTGTCTATCTATCTATCTATCCAATCGTATCTGTGTTTTGTGGTGCCAACTTTCATTGCACTGAGCTCGTAGCTCGTAGCTCGTCGCTGCGGTGCACAAAAGTTAACGTATCCTGGGACCAAAGTTGCGTTGTCAACAACCAAAAACGCAGGAAAAAAAAAAAGGAAACATAGGAAATGGGGGAACCAAATCGAGGAAGCCCAGCTGAAGGAGCAAAAAAAAATGCTCACCATGAGCCCAGAGGGGGATGAGGGAAGTTACACAGCTACAGAGCGTGAAAAAATATCTAAATCCAACATTAATGAAAAACTTTTTGCATAATCCAGGAAGAGCAGCAAAACCCCAAATCAAACCCCGCCCAAGTGGAAATGCAGCCAAGCGAAATCCTTTGCGGGAAAGGGAGGAACTCCCTGTCGAGTGAATAAAATGCAATAGAAGAGGACCGCAGGATAACAAAGCAACAGATTCCGCTGGGAGGTGACGGGGAATGGGATTTTTGAGGCATTGAAGGACACGCCAAGCGGCTTAAAAGGTGCTGAAGGTTACACCGCCAGCACTAGATGGAAGTAAGTGATGAGATGGCTCAGACTTTTGGGGGCTTGGGGAGTTGCCAAAGTCGCACTAAATCTAAGCCAAGGCTTGAGAAAAATGGAGAGTTCGATTTGAAAGGGAATCGGTGTAGGGAAAACTGATTGGAAAATGGTTAAAAGAAGATCAAACGCTTTGAAAGTCTATTGTAGAGAGCTTTGTAATTTAAAGAGTTGAGTTTATGGTAAAAATAAAATAGCGCGATAAACGTTTATTTTAAAAATTGAAGCAGTTATCATATTTCTCTTTATTTTATTTTTAACCTAATTAAATAATTTTTTCTTGGAATAATAATCGTTGCTGATTTTTGGTTTTTATATTATTTTATTGTAATATTATTTAACATCTACAAATTTCAAGCTTGGTCGCCCTCCTATTGCTATAATTTCGTTATCCCTTTGCCTGAACCTTAACCCTCAATCTAGGCATCTGTGTGTGTTTATAAGTTTCAGTTACCCGTGATTTGTTTGCCGAGTGTTAAATGGCTACATGGCCATTTCCCAACACTTTGCCCACTGCAGAGTAAATAAATTAAATTCTTATTTGCCGGCGTTTGGAAAGGTAGATGCCCTCCGGCCCACCGGGTTTGGTGTAAAAGTTTCAGCAGTCGCCGGACACGGTCGTCGTGTCGCCTGCGACTTTCGTCCTGTTCCAGGTCCTGCTCCAGCTCCTGGCAAAGGCGTCGTAGCCGTGTGTTGCAATAACAAACTCATGCTAATTGCTTTGCTAACAACTCGCAGCAACAGAAACAGGAGCAGAAACTAACTGTGCAACTGCAGCAGCAAAAGCAAAAGCAGCAACAGCAACACCAAGTTGCACTGACAATAAGAGAACAGAAAATGCAGCTAGGACAATAAATATCAGCAGCAACTGGGAAGGAGCTAAGGAGCTACAAGTCCTGGCTACCTTTAATTACGGTTTCGCAGGACATCAGACCGCACACACACCGACTCACACACACTGCTAACTAGTTGCACATGGCACAGATACACTCATGACACGATTGACCTCTCGCCTTCGGGATGTTGCCGCTGCCATTTAGTCGACGCGTCTGGATTGTGTCTACTACACTGAGGGAAAACTTTAGTTATATTTCTTCGAGTCGAATCTTTGCAGAGTTTTTTGTGTGCAGCAACCAGAAATAATTTAATTTCTTATTTTGGAAATAAAATATACCTTTGTATTTATCATAATATAATACCATCTATAAATTATCTGATTTTTATTCTCTCCGTGCACCTCCTCCTTGTCCTGTCGGTTTATAGAATTTGCACACGAACTTGCGATAATTGCTGGGAAATTAAATAAAAATGCAATTAAAGCCGGTGACGCTGTGAAGCGGTATCCCCAGCTCGTTGAAATGAGCTTTCAATTAAGCGGCAGCCAACGAGCTGCGAGAGCGTGTCCTGGAATGGAATAGAGAGTGTCCTGTATTCAGTGTCCCTCCTTCTGTCACAGCCATGCACACTTGATGGCGACAACGTCGAGGGCGTTTAGAAAATGATTTTTATCTTTATCAAATTAGAAAACGACAACAGCAAGCGGAACGGCGGATACCGTTTTGCAAAGGAATCCCGATTCCCGATCCCAGATCCCAGATCCCACCAATGCCTGCGGCTATCCCGCTATCCAGTCAGTCGTGTCTTGGCAGTGTCGTAGCAATTAAAACTCTGCCATGGCATTGTGTAGATTACATCGCCGGGCGATTCTGGGGCGTGTCTCCTGGTCAGTGGGCAAATGTTAAATGCTTTGAAGTTTATTTCTAGATTTGCACGACTGCCCTCGGTGAATCTATGTGGGAGTATTATATATATATAATATATATGAATGGAATTGGAGGCAACTAAAGGACGAGGGCGTGTACCGCTTTAAGAGTCTGCTACTATTAGGAGATTACATTTGTTTAACACAGATATATAGAGGGGGTGCTGGATGTAATTTAGAAGGATATTAAATTGAAGTTCACAGTAGTTTAAAAACGCAAAGGTATCTTAATAATAAGAAGAACAAGATTTAATCTTTTTAATAAATACTCTTACGTTTAATAAATTTAATTCCCTATTATAACTCCAATTACACTTCCCTTTTCAAGCTCAACCAGCGTAAGGATCACCTTACATCCCTTTATGAATTACATTTTCACCTGCTGCACCCCCAAAAACTCCAAAAAATATCATTTAAGCAACAAATACCTGCCACTGCCACTTGCCTGTTGCCGTCCATGTTCTGACAATTTATCCCTGGCGACAGTTAATTTTTAATTCAATGTATGTCTGCTGGCTGGCACACACAAAGGCCCAGTTCATTGCCTCATTCGCTTTCTTAATGCCGTTTTGGTGACTGTTTTCAATTTACATGAACAGGGCACAAAAAGACCTCCCCTCACACTCTACCAGGTCTCTGGTCAAAAACTGCCACGTGACAGGTGAGTGAGGGAGGAGGTGGAGGAAAAAGCCCCTGGCCAAATGCACCCTGGGGACACTCGTGTTTTTTTCGCTTTCAGCCCCAACTTTTTCTCCCCTCACAGTAACTCTGCTAAACTTCCACTAAACATTTGCCTTCAATTTTGCGGCGCTTTTTTTTTTACGCCCTACACTTTTTGCCTTCGAACTTGTTTGGCAGTTTTCTGTCGTTTCTGTTGCTTTTTCTGCGGCTCTGTCTCTGCCATAGTCAATGTACTAAACATTTTTTAATGGCTTGTTTTGTGGCCCAAAGTTGTTGACTGGTTGACTGGCCAGCAACCTTTTAATGAGTTTGTTTCCTTCCAGAAGACTGTCCTTTATTATTCACAGCTTCATCAATATTTTTGTCAAGTGGCTGGAAGGGAAATCATAAAAAAAAGGGAGGTGAGAAAAGCTAGAAAAACACGAGGTGTGAGTAAACAAAGTTTATTGGTTGGGATTTTTTTTGGAAAATATATATGTAGAACGTAAAATTTCCGGAGTTTTTTATAGATTTTAATGAATTAAACGAATGAGAACAAAAGAACACATGAAAAGTTTCTTTAAAACCTAAAAACCTAAACTATTT